ACTAAAACGGGAAACGGAACGTACTACTTTCCTACTACTACCACCTACCTTCGTACCTCTCTACTCTCCTACCTACGTAACCCAACTACCCCCCCCCCCAAATCCCTGACCAAAAAAAAAAAACAAAATCCATCTCTCTCTCTCTCTCATTCTAAAAAATTCTTATATGTGTTTCTTGTCTCTCTCTGTTGCTCCCCATTAGTAGAAATATGTTTCTACGTCCATCTTGCTCTAGCCATTTCCTTCTCTCTCCATCTCTACCATGTTTTCTTCAATAGAGATTTCTTACATTTAACCCTTTTCCCAGGTAGAAATGTATCTTCTAGATTACATCCAACTGATATACAAACGCCAGAAACCCATTTTGAATAAACACAAGCAATATCCTGAAGAAACCCGAAGTTTCTCCCATGCAAAACCCTAACTAGGGTTTACTAAGGCGCGCACCAAGCTTCTCTTTCTTTCTCTGGAAATCATGTGACCCTCAAGGTCCCACGCACCTCTCATTTCTATTATTATTTAGTGTTTTTCTTGCAAAAGCAATATTATATATTTAGCGTTCAAGATATTAAATGTTCATCATCATCATCATTATCATAGCCTTTTCCTAATTAATTGGGGTCGGCTACACGAATCCTAGTCCTCCATTCTGCTCTATTAAAGTCATACCCTCAGTGAGGCCATAAATCCCCATATCTTTTCAGACAACCACATCCTTTTGGGCTTACCCCTAGCACTTTTCGATCCTTCCACTTGAACTAACTCACACCTCTTAATAGGTGTGGTACTAAGTCTGCACCACACATGGCCAGCCCACTTGTGTTTGCTCTCTCTCATCTTATCGACTATCGTTGCCACACCAAAATTTTCCGAATGGATTCATTTCGAATCATATCCCTTCTTGTCTTGTCACTCATCCATCTCAACATCCTTATCTCCACTACACTCAGTTTATTGTTTTTCTTTAGCCCAACATTCCGCCCCATGAAACAAAGTTGGTCTCACAGTTGTCTTATAGTTTTGCCCTTTAGCTCCATTAGTATACGGCGATCACATAAAATTCCCACTGCACATCTCCAGTTTGCCTACCTAGCTCTAATTTTATGTGCAACATCTTCCTCAATCTCTCCATTTACCAAGATTATCGACCAAAAATATCGAATGTGCGGTCTTTTTGGTACTTCCTGACAGTCAATCTTAACTAATTCTTTGTCTCTACTCCAATTATTATTAAACTTGCATTCCATATACTCTGTCTTAGTCTGACTAATTTTATAACCTTTAGATTCTAGAGCATCCCTCCAAGGTTCTAACTTTGTATTGACGTTGTTCTGCATCTCATCTATCAAAACTGTCATTTGCGAACAACATGCACCATGGTATCTCATCCTATAGATTCCTAGTTAAGTCATCCATAACTAAGGCAGAGCTGCAGGCTCAATGCTGACCCTAGATGTAGACCTAGTGTCACTGAAAGCTCAGTTCACTTGTCTCTCCACTATTTATTCATATACTAGTTAGCGCTACATCGTACATATCTCTACCAAGTTAACGTAGTATCTGGAGACTCCTTTTTTTTTCAACACCCACCAAATCAAATCTCGAGGTACTCTATCATAAACTTTCTCTAGATCAACAAAGACCATGTGGAGGTCTTTTCCCTTCGCCTTAAACTTCTCAATCAATTGCCTAAGTAGGAAAATAGACTCGATTGTTGGCCTTTCTGGCATAAAACCAAATTGGTTTTCAGATACCACTCGTTTAAGACATTAAATGTCCATATAATAAATAAAATGACCCAAAAGTCCTACCTTGACTTTCAAAATAAATAACCCTAACTATAAATAGAGACCTAAGAAGTCCCCAATTGGTGAAGAAAATAACAGGAATTAAAAAATAACAAAAAATAACTGAAAATGACTATAAAAGAACTAGAAAATCATCCCAAGCAAAGCTTGCTCTTCTTGTTCTTCTTTGTAGCCCCTTGTCGCTTTTCATATTAATATTAAACTTGCATTCCATATACTATGTCTTAGTCTGGCTAATTTTATAACCTTTAGATTTTAGAACATACCTCCAAGTTTCTCACTTTGTTTTGACGTTGTTTCGGGTCTCATCGATCAAAACTATGTCATCTGTGAACAACATGCACCATGGTACCGCATCGTGTAGATGCCTAGTTAAGTCGTCCATAACTAAAATAAAGAGGTACGGGCTCAATGTTGACCCTTGACATAGACCTATTGTCACTGAGAACTCACTCGTCTCTCCACTAGTTGTTCGTATACTAGTTAGCACTACATCGTATATATCTCTCACCAAGTTGATGTAGTGTTTCGAGACTCCTTTTTTTTATCCAACACCCACCAAATCAAATTTCGAAGTATTCTATCATAAGCTTTCTCTAGATCAACAAAGACCATGTAGACGTTTTTTCCTTTGCCCTAGACTTCTCAATCACTTGCCTAAGTAGGAAAACAGACTTGGATGTTGACCTTCCTGGCATAAAACCAAATTGGTTTTCAGATACACTTGTTTAAGACATTAAATGTCCATACAATAAATAAAACGACCCAAAAGTCCTAACCTAACTAACTTTTAAAATAAATAACCTTGACTATAAATAAAGGCCTAGGAAGTCCCTAATGGGAAAAGAAATTTAAAAATAACAGTAAACTAATTGAAAATAACTATAAAATAACCATAAAATCATCCCAAGCAAAGCTTGCGCTTCTTGTTCTTCTTGGTAGCTGATGAAGGAGAACTTGAAGAAACAGAAAAAATCAGCAAGGAAGCACCTTGACAAAAGCAATTTTGGAGAAACACTAAGGTTTTCTCCCACCTAGGGCTCAAGCATTAGGCTTCTTTTTCAAGACAAAGTCTTTCTTTTCTTAAAGCGGAACACATGACTCTCCAGCCCATCCATATTGACAAATTATTGTTTTGGATAATATTTGTCCATACAATTAACTTTTGATCAAAAGGTCCTAAGTATAAATTTATAATAACAATTTTACCCCTATGAATCGTACCCATGAATAGTACTCATGAATAATACTTGTGAATAATACTCATGAAATAAATAAAACATATATAAAAGCCTAGAATTTCTAAAAACTAAAAACCCTAGAAATAAACCCTAAAACTAAAATTATGATATGCACCCCTTGAAATTAAATAAAAATATTAAATAAAGATAATTTTTCCCTCCATCATTCTCCCTTGGTTGGAGAAAACTCGTCATCGAGTTTTGAAGTGTGCTAAGATGAATTTGGCATCAAAACCACCTTCTTCTTCTTTGTTGGTTCAAAGATTATTCGTGGTAAAAATAATTCCTCAAGAAACAAATCTTGATATGTATATTGGGGTAAAAATAATCTCTGCCATGTATGAGATAACGAAGTGGATCTACAAAAATCCCCTTCTATAGGTTTGCTGAAATCACAAACCCTAGACAAATAAACAAACAAAAATTGCTGAAATCAGCAAGATCTAGGTTGTTTTGGTAAAACTTAGGCCAAAATCAGAAAACTCTAGACCCCATTATAACTTTCCCTCTTTGTTGCTGACAGGGCACCAAAAAAGTGGTGCTACAGTAACTCCGTACATGTTGCAATAACTTAAGTATTTACTACAGCAACTCCCATATTTGCTACAATAACTTCCGTGTAGATCACGGGCTCTGATACCAATTGATGTACGAGAACTTGAAGAAACATAAAAAATCAACAAGAAAGCACCTTGACACATACAATTTTGGAGAAACCCTATGGTTTTCTCCCACCTAGGGCTCAAGCCTTAGGCTTCTTTTTCAAGACAAAGTCTTTCTTTTCTTAAAGCGGAACACATGAAT